TACCGGTGCGCGGTACGGCGGTGGTGGTCAAAGGTGGCCGCAACTAATGAAATAATAATAATAATAATATTCATACCGTATGTTAGCCCGCATAAGTTTTCTGTTTCGCCTTTTTTTTTCTTTCACTGACCGCAAACTTTTCCAAGGAGAACAGATCCCATCAAAATTACATGAGGTCTGATATGTCGTCTGCTTCCTGCTTTCCTGCTCGCGCGGTTAAATTTGATCGTCGCGAAAGCGCTTCACTTCGCTAAAATGCGGGAATGCCGAGGTTGTGCGCAGCGCTGGATTGCACGAACAATGAGGGAAGAGCCTCAGGATTATCATTTCACACGTAAGTAGCAATCAGGTTTAGTTAATTACTACATATCACTAAAAATAAAACTATGACGAGCGACCACTCGTACATATATGGCCTGCATTGGAGCACTTCGTCTGATATTCCAGGCTCCCTAAAAAAATGACAACTTTTTGCTGAAGTGGTTAAAAGCATTTCCGGACAACTTTACTCCTGCCGCACATCATGTCCTTTGCTCACGGCACTTCGAGCTCCAGTGCTTTAAGGATGGGTTCTATGTGAAAGCAAGACTCAAGGAAGATGCCGCACCCACCGTTGGTTCTGTCAATGTATGTACATACATATATACTGAACTGCAAGTAGGTTAAATTCAGTAGTGAATATGATGCATGCTTTTCTAAAATTTGAGCTTCATGCGTCATTGTGGTCAATGCTAAAATAATGTATTGCAGCAGAGGAGTTTGTAATGTCACTTTTATTTCCAGTCCTTAGATCATGTACATTAGAACAAAGTGTCTATGCGTTAATGTATACCTACTTGTCTCTTTCTTATAGGCACCAAGGAAGCGTCCAGCACCACGGATCGCCGATGACGCAGCGCAAGACGATGCTCCAGTGACCACACCTACTTCGATGGAGAGTCCCCAAAAAGTAAACGACGTCGTATGAACAAAAAATTAGATTTGGCAAAAAAAAAATAAGATAATGCAATAAACCCTGAAAAGAAACAAACGGAAAGTTAGAAATCTCCAATCTCTTTTGGAATGTCTGAAGGAGGAGCATGCACTGACAGATCAACTCCAACTAAGATTGAAAGCATTTGGGGAGATCCCGCAAGAACTGCTGAAGGGTATTGGAAAAAAACACCACCAGGAAGATGACCGGCAGAAGGTACACCAAAAAGAACAAAGCAGTTCGCAGCCACCCTGCACTACTACTCGCCTCAAGCCTACGCCTACGTCAGCACTCTCTTTTCCCTACATTCTGTGAGCTCCCTCAGGTGTTGGTTCAAAGTTGTTGGAGGGTGGCCTGGATTCACCAAGGAAGCACTAGGAGAGCTGCAGCGACGACATGAAAACTCCTCTGAACGGGACGAGCAGAGTCTCGTCATGCTGGACCGGATGTCCTTAAAAAAGAAATAAACTTGGATGTCCCAAAGGGATGTGTGCCTCCAATGACCAACAACTTCGATTATTTTTGGTGGTGGTGTCTAAACCACAGAAAATGGAGCGTGACCACGGAGAAGAGAGTGGGAGTGACTAAAACCGGCCAGTTGTCAATCGGCGGTTTTCGGGCGGAAAGAAAACTGATTATGTGCTGAAAAATGTGTTCTGAATAGATGGCCTCCCATATACGGCATGTACAAATAAAAATCGTCCCGAGCATAAATATACTCAGTATCTTTTGATGGAACAGCGAGGATGAACAGTCACACTCACATGCACACAAAAGAAGACAGACTCGCAGCACTGACTTACAACTCAGTCGTATATTTCTTCTTCCTCAAATCTTCAACTTCTTCACCTTTGCCGTTAATGAGAACAATTTAAATTGTTTACACACCAGAGACCAAATAGCCAATAAACATTAATAAATAACTAAAAATTGAATAAATAATAGACAACTGAACCTACAATAAAAATACTATTAAAATTAAATTAAAAATTAAACTAAAAAAATAAATAAAATTAATTTCATTTTAATAGTATTTTTAATAGTAGGTTTAGTTGTCTTTTATTTATTTAATTATTAGTTATTTAATAATGTTTATTGGCTATTTGGTCTCTGGTGTGTAAACAATTTAAATTGTTCTCATTAACGGCAAAGGTGAACAAGTTGAAGATTTGAGGAAGAAGAAATATAGGACTGAGTTGTAAGTCAGCGCTGCGAGTCTGTCTCCTTTTGTGTGCATGTGCGTGTGACTGTTCATCCGCGCTGTTCCATCAAAAGCATGAATTACCAACTTGCCCAAGCATCGACATTATCAACCCTCAGTATCCCCTTTAAGCACTTCCATGTTCCCAAAAAGTCTGTTTCAAGCGAAAAAAAATCCATAATCTTACCCGACACAGCTTTTTTTGCTGAATGGCTTGTACATGGGATTCTTGTCCTCGTTATCGTCCTTCTCGTCGTGGCCGTCGTTGTCGTCGTCGTCGTCGTCTTAACCACTAGGGACTTAAAATGATGCCGATTCTGGCATTGTAGGTGCTGGAATCGGCCTTTGTGGCAGAATGGGGGAGCCCGTGCTGCTGGAACTGTTGGTGGTGTCGTTGCTATACCCCCTGTCTGGACCCAGCGGCTGGTGACAGCTTTTGCATAGAAGTTTGCCTGACTGCCTGAAGAAAGGACACAGTTTTAAATATCTAAATCCTTATTCCGTCTTGATTTGCGTAAGCTCCTCTTTCTGCTGATTGCACTCCGGCAAAAGCTCCATTTGTCAGGAACTGATGAACTTGAACAAGTCATTTCCTTTTTGATCTGACAGCAAGCAATACTAAAGTACGAAATAGAAGTTAAGTAAAAAAAGGTGAAGAAAACCAAGGTCTGCACATGCACACTTGAATGTGCCCTTATTTTTTGGACTATTATTTCGCAGGGGTAAAGTCACCATTCCCGGACGACGCGTGTATCAGTGGGGAGCGTGTTAACCCCGCCCCCCCCCCCCCCCACCCCTTCCCTTTCGCCTGCGTTCATGCCGCTTTGCGGCAACAGTCTGCAGCTGCTCATTTCAAACTTATTAACCCACTTTCCCCCTCCCACCCTCCCCCTTTACACTCCGGTTTGCGACGTCCAGCCGGCAGCCCAAGCCCCCCTTACCCACTGCACCTCTGAAAAGGGAGTCCCACACCATTTAGTTCAGCGAAGTTTAGTCGACAACATTCGTTTTGTTTTCAGTGATAATGATAAAAGAGGGATTTCGTAAATATTTCCAAATGCTAAAAACAACAACAATCACAAACAAAAGTAAGCCCACTCTCTGGATCGAACCTGTGTCTCCTGCGTACGAACCAGACACACTTCCACTAAGCCATGCTACCATTTCTGAAACTCTTTTTGACAATTCGTTTTATACGAGACCCACCAAGTTTCGAGTCATGCATGTGTTTCGGTGGCGCCCTCAAATGGTTCCCTCTCCTGAGGTAATTACCTTGCGAAGAACAAGCTCGATGGTTTTTGTAGAAAAATATGGTGGAAGCTTGAAATCCTTCCGCTCTAAAAACAACACTGCCAACACTGTCAAAATTGAATTTATCATATTACTCATATTTCCCTCGATCAGGAAACGGCTGCTGATGTCATAGTCAGCATTCGGCCAATCGTGGCAGGCCGACCGCTGCGACGCTTTCAATCGCTCACGTCGCCAATACATGATGACAGGAAGAAAACACTTAACTGTAAATCATATATTCGGAAAACTAGATTACATTGCCATCCTATCGATGAAAATGCACAAGGTCCTGGCAAATGGAACTTATCATGCACATATTTTAACCGTTTTAATCTACCGTGTGGCGTCAAGCAGACAAAAAAAAGGCTGTTCAAGTTTCATACCTACCAACAGTCCCCTTTCCCAGCCGAGGGTCTGTTCCCACGGAAACGTTTTTCACATCAGGCGGCCTCGGAATCTCAGCAAACTCCTGTGTCTTTAAGAAGGAGTATGAGACTCTGGACCGCTGCGTCGCGTGTGGTTGGCCGGGGACTGCAAATGCAGCAGTGCTCGCGAGGCTCAAGAGGTGCGTCGCTCTCCAAGCAGTGCACGTTTTCAACCGTCTCATCAACGTGGAAAACCGAAAATTATGATGAAACCTCGGCTGTACATACCGTCCACGAAAAAAAGGGCGCCACTTACCGAAGTTCTGCGACGTGTCAGCGTTATTTCGTTCGCTGGGGGGATGGTATGGTTTGTGGTGGGGGGCAGTTGAAGATAAGGAACTGCGTCTGGCTTCAGAAGGGCTCTCGGTAAAGCCTACCCGGCATCACGAAGGGTACTTCTTATGCAACGGTAGTCTCGATTCTCGTCAAAATTATCGTAGCATACGCGCACGCCTGTCTTCCCAGGGTTCCTTCCGATCCTCCGACATGTCTTACTTTTGAGTGGTTTCCCAAGCTGAAGGCGATGATATTTGAGATTTGTTCCTCGCCAGTGCCCGTTTTGGTTCGGGCACTGCAAAACACAACAAGGCAGCCGGCATCGCCGGCGGCCGCAGCGGGCGGTCGAAGTCGAGGTCGAGGTCGAGGTCGAGGTTTAGGCACAGGAAAAGCGATACTTCGGACACCGTCAAACTAGGAAAAGACAAATCCTGCCGGTTGCTCGCTCGAGTAGGCGCCTCGGGCGTCGACGGCTGACAGCGACGGCAGGTTTTGATGACTTGGGACAGATGGCGCCACAAATATTTTATACCCCTTTTGCGCTAATATTACACTTTCGAAACATTTCTGTATGCCTAAACAACAATACTGTTTCAATTAATGTAAATCTACTTACAATTGCCTCACTCTATCACTTACAAAAGACACTCCGAATGACGTCACACCACATATTAATATTACGGGCACAATGTGGCCCCAGGTTGCGAAAAAAAAAGCGTTTTTTACTTTGCCATTACGCAGCGAAATACAGGTATTTCGGGGTATAGGGGCACGTTGTCTCTTACTTATGCCAAGGTAAACAATATAAATAAAATATAAGCTGCACATTCGTTCAGTGGTAAAATTGTTGCACTGCCACTCTGAGGGCTTCCTCGACCTCGCCCAACGAGAACGGTTGGAGGGCGGGTGTTGCGACCCCGAGATTTAAAATACGAAACCACGTTGACGACGACACCTTCGATGAATTGTTATAATGTACCTGAATGAAAGAACTCTTGCTGGGACATACCTGAGATACCACAACTTGGGGTTCGTTCCCCTACAAAAAGATGAAAGACGTTTACAAATACCTGTATTGCAAAATTAGAGCGCTGTTCTTGAAGAAGAAGAGGAGAGGGTACCGAGGGGAGGGTAACCTCCACCTTCTCCTCCTCCCACTGCTCGTCCTCTCTTCTTTCCACTTCCTCCTTCCCTCCTCCTCCTTCTCCTTCCCTCTTCCTTTCCTCCCCCTCTCCTCCGGCCGCTGAATTTGTTCATGGGTGACATGACACGAAGTCGTGGCATTCTTTTCCCAGCTAAATTTAACGGGGAAAGTGAATTGGTGGTGATGACACGTGACTTCGATTTCCCTGCTAAATTTAGCGAGAAAATTTCCCCGCAAAATTTCGCGGAAAAAGTTTCTCGCGAATTTTAGCAAGCAAACGTTCCGTTATGCAACGCGCGGTTACGGGGACGCCAACGGCGCCTGCGCTCAACCCGAAAATGGGTGCTTAAGAGCTGCGCTCTTAAATAAAATATTTTTACAAATCTCTGTAACCCGAAATTACAGCGCAGCCCCTGAGAAGGTTAAGAGGAGGGTACGGAGGGGACGGCATGCCTCTCTACCTCCTTCGTAGCCTCTCCTTCTCCCCTCCTCCTTTGCACCTCATCCTCACCTTATTTCCTCCTGCTCTCCCCTCCTCCTCCTTCCATCCTGCTCCACCTTTCTTCCTCATCCTTTACACTCCTCCTCCTCCTCCTTCGTGCCCTCCCCTCTTCCTCTTGCGTACCCTCCCATCTTCCTCCTCCGTACTAACCCCTCGTCATCCGTCCTGCCATCCCCTCCCCCCCCCCCCCCCCCCCAGTTTCCGCGCTGAATTCAGCTAAAAAATTGATGCCACTTGATCTCAACAGCAATTCAATTCCCCGCTAAATTTAGCGGGGAATTCCTGTTGAGGTCACGGGAAGTAATTTGTTTCGATAAATCGAGCGGAGAAACTGAACGTCTTCATAAGTGACGTGAAAACAAGTCATGTGACGTTATTTTGCCCGTTACATTTATCCAGGAAACTGAATTGGTGGTGAGGTCACGTGACATCAGTTTTCCCGCTAAATTTATCGCGGTTATACCGACGGCGACGGCGACGTCGCGAAACACGGAAACGGGTGCTTAAGAGCAGCGCTCTAAAAACCTGCCAAACAGGTTTCTGGTATTTTCTGACGTTTACGTCTAAGCATAAATGCAGACACCGGTTGCGATGTGCTGTCCTGTCCTGGCGTGTGCGGTTTCTGGTGTTTTTTATCGTTTACATCAGAGGGAAAATTTAGACGCAGGTTCTGGTGTGCTGTTGTATCCTGCCGTGATCCGGTCTGACGTGACCCGTTTTAGTGTAACTTGGTGTAATCACAGTGCAGTGTGCCCTGGTGTTATCCGGGTCTACTCATGCAGGTGCTGTACCATGATGTCACAATAATATTTTTTGTTTATTCATACTGCTAACCTCTTTCGAGGTCGTAGCAGGAGTGGAAAACACATAGATACAAATATTTCATGGTGCACTCATTTACACAAAACATTGCCAAAATCAGAATAGGTGGCTGCATTAACGACATCGGGTGGCAGGTTGTTCCAGTCAATTACTGTTCTAGGAAAGAAGGAATATTTAAATGAATCATTTTTATAATTATATGGTTTAAGTGTCTTCTGATGGAAATATCTGGATACTCTAGGGGAAAAAAAATTCAATATACTGATTCTTGTCTATTCCCAGCTCATTGCTAACAATTAAATAAAGCAATTTCAGACGATTTTGTTTCCTTCCTTCCTGTAACGTTTGGAGTCCTGCTCTAGCACACAAGTTTGTGGGGGACACATAAGAAGATTACATACTAAAAACAAATCGCACTGCAAGTCTCTGAACCCTTTCTAAATTAACTATGTTACAAGTCGTGTGCGGGTCCCAGACACTGCTAGCGTACTCTAGAATTGGCCTAATAAACGTTTTATATAACAACAACTTAGTATCACTTGACCCATGTTTAAAATTCCTGCGCAAAAATCCAAGTTTATTTATCGCCCTGGCGATCATTTGGCCAATATGCATATTCCAACTCAAGTCAGACGTTATAGTGACACCGAGGTACTTATAAGAGGACACTTTAGGTAGATTATGACTGCCGACTACATAGTCAAAGTAAATAGGATTCTAAATGTTTCCCACTTAGAAAGAACATGAAATTACCCCACTGGACGAAGAAAGAAAAAGGAACGCCGTCCTTATAACGTTCCTTTACAAATGTAAAAATGTTTGCGTCCAATTCCACCGGCGCAAATTGAAATGACGGCGTCCCTCCCTTCCTTCTCTTAGGAACGCGTTCCAGCAACGCCGTTCTTTGGAACGTCGATTCCTAAAACATTAAAATAGCTACGCACACCAAGCAGATTTTATACACTTTTCTCCACACTGGCTGATTTGTAAGCAGGTACACACATACAACATTGGTGAAGTTCGAAGCGAATAGTGGTTTTGGCCGAATATTTTCTAATCAATTATTGAATTGTTTCTCCAAGTCTTTTACTACCGTTCTGTCACGCTTAAACGAAAATTCAGCTAAACTAATGAAGGTTGCACTTGTTAGTGAGCGCGTTGGTAATGATGTAGGTTTAGAAAGAGTTATATACGTAAATACAGGGGACGGGACAACACATCTTCCAACTTTCAACGAACAAATGATTTATTGCCCGACACTTCGCCTTCGGAGCTCCACTATAAAAGGGCGAAAGTTAAAAGAACGGGGAAGGGGAAGGAGGGGGCAAGACAAGGCCCCGGGAGAAAAACTGGGGGAAAGTAGCGCAGAGACATCAGGGAGAAGAGGAAGGGAGGAAGCATCCCGATTTTCCTCTCAGGACCAAGGACCTCTCGCCCGGCCCGCCAAGGTCGTCAACTCCGGTCTCAGGAATGTCACCTCTCTCTCCGACAGAGACAACAACGAGGCCGAGGAACTGTACTTCGGCGCCTCTTTTATGGCGTACGCCTCCACGATCTCCCGCCAGTAGCGGGCCTTGTGGGCGCCCAGAACACACGCGGACGGGAACTCGGCGGCACATGGAGCGCAAACCTTGGGGTGATGGACTATGGGCTGTCGGGAGTCCTTGTCGTTTTCTTTTTTTTTTTATTTCTCTTTCATGTTCGCGCAGGCGGTCGTTGAGGCAGCGGCCCGTCTGCCCGATGTACTCTGCCCCGCACGAGAAGGGCACGGAATGCACCCGTCCGACCGCGCAGGGAACAAAGGGGGCCGCGTGCCTCTAGGCGCAGCCGATCTTGGGAGGAGGGGGAGAGTTTACCAGACGGCACATGGCGCTCAACTTGAAGGGGCACGAAAACGCAACGTCCATGTCGAAGCGTCGAGCCACTGTTTTTAGTCGGTGGGTGGTGTTGTGGAAATAGGGATGGTTGTGTACCTTTGCCGGGCAGGCTTCCGAGTGGCGGCTTTTCTAATTATTAGTTTTCTGAGCGTGGAGGCCAGCAGGTAGCGCGGGTACCCGGCGTTTGTGAGGCGGCTTAGCTGTCCCTCCAGTCTAGATGGGGAGAGGTGTTGGCAGGACTTGTGCGGGTGGAGATGAAACTTTTTGCGATGCCCGCTTTTACTGTCTTTGAGTGGTGGCTTGAAAATGGCAGCACCGGCTTCTGCGACCGCTGCTGGAAGCGCCAGCAAGTGCCTCCCTGGGTGGTTACGAGGCGTACTTCCAGGAACTGGAGACCCTCCGCCGAGGGGTCTTCTCTGATGAAGCTCAGGTCATTTACGTTTTCTGTGAAGGCCTTCTGGATGGTGGTGGTGGGCGCGCCGGAGTCGTGGATCACTAGATAGTCGTCCACATCCCTGTACACCTGGGTTCCCGGGGCAACGCTGTCCAGTTGCTCCTTCACGGCCTGATCCACGAAGGAAAGGTAGACCTCGCTGAGCGCAGGCGCCAGGCAGGACCCGATGCAGACACCCGATTTTTGTGGGTATATCTTCCCGTCATGCTCCACCATTGTCGACCGAAGATATACTCTGATTAATTGCAGGAGCGCGCTGAGGGGGATGCCGGAAGAATTTTGGAATTTGACGATACCCTGCGTAGTGATGGCTTTTTTTACCGCATCCTGGAGAATGTTGAAGTCGGGGCTGTAGTACATGTCGATGATGTCAAGGGAGAAGAAGGTGGCACATGGACCTGATGTGTGAAGAAGCTGGAGGGCTGGGAGGAGTTCCTGAGAGCTGCCCACGCGGAAAGGCTGGTCCAGGTGGACGGCTGCCAGGTGCTTCTGCAGGTAGAGAGCCAGAGGCTTATGCCAGCATCTATTTTCTGATACGATGCTCCTAAGCGGGATCTCTGGCTTGTGGGTCTTGGCAGTGAAAAACACTTTTAGGTACTGGTTCGCAGGGGCCGACAGTCTCGTGAGAAGCGGCGAAAGGTTGTTCCACCGGCAGATGTCTTTGACTTCCGAACGGAGGGTGCCGGAGGGCTTTTTTTAACGAGGACGAAGTTTTTCTTGATGGTGAGTTCAATTTTCTCACCGAAGTTAGGCTCGTTTATGACCACAAACACTCCTGTCCTGTCTGCCTCCAAAAGTCTCAAGTCAGACCCCCTCAGTTCATTCACCACTTGCGGAAATTCTGGTTTGGTTGGGTGGGCTGCTCCATACATGCACACCAAACGGTAACCAACACCGAGGAACCCTTGTCGGGCAGGCTCCGGGATTCTCGACGCGATCTGGTGTACCGTTGCGAGCTGATCCACTTTTGACGGTGTGACAGATGGAGCGAATTTGGGTCCCTTTGCGGGCAGCGCCTCGGCTTGCGATGCAAGGTTTGAGACCGAGAGATTTAGCGGAGGCTGAAGCTTGGGGCACTGGTTCGCACGTTTGTCTGTGGATGCAGTTGCAATTACGACCTTCCAAGATGAAGGTTGTTCCCAACCTTTTACTTGTCCACTTCTAAGCTCGGTTAGTTTTAATATAACTATATGTATGAGCCGTGATCTAAGAAAGTCGATTGCCTTCGTTGAGGTGGCAT